TTGTTGTCTCCAAGTTGTTGTGATCATCAAAACTCTTAACGTCTTCAGCTCCCCTAAGCTCAACAAGAAGCACCTTTGTGACGAGGTGATTCTTAGCGGCAAAGAGGAGGAGGTCGCGACTCTAAAGGTGGACCTCGGTCAGCTGGCTGATGCTAAGGTGGAGCTGGAGAGGAAGCTTGCTGAGGCTTCGTCAAGGCAGCTCGTCAGGCGAGGTTGCTTGCTCTTGGGGTCGACCTCTCTGCTATGCATGTGGAGGAGGAGGTGTGCTTCGGGAGGCTGGTGAAAGAAGACGACCTCCAGGACAACTCAAGTGATAATGCCTCCGCCTAGGCCATCTTTGTAATAGCTTAGTTTATTTTGTTCTTCTTATTTCCTTTTCCCTTTGGATTCATGCGTCGAACTTACGAACATTGTCGTGTATATATAATTTTTTGTGATTTTGTTCTTGCGCTTTTGCTGGTTCTATTTGACCTCTTATTTTTGTGCTTATGTGTTAGGCTTAGATTTCGCCTGTATTTGTGGTTCGAGAACACGCTTAGACGTGGTTTAGTTCAAATTGGTTTGCCCTAAGGTTCGAACTCGACCTCGGGTAGGATAGAGTAATTTATGTTGAGGTTCGAACTCGACCTCAACCTGAGACAGAATAATTCACACCCTAGGTTCGGATTTGACTTTAGGTGTTAGACAATTCGTACCAAGGTTCGAACTCGTCCTAAGGTGAAATTTAAACCTCAAGGTTCGGATTCGACCTTGGCGCAAGATAATTCACGCCGAGGTTCGAACTCGACCTCGGCTTAATATAAGGTAAATCGTACCAAGGTTCGAACTCGACCTTGGCTTAATATAAGGTAAATCGTACCAAGATTTGAACTTGACCTTGGCTTAATATAAGATAAATCGTACCAAGGTTCGAACTCGACCTCGGCTTAATATAAGATAAATCGTACCAATGGTTCGAACTCGACCTCAGCTTAATATAAAGCATTGTGTGGTAAAATGATGTATAGTTAAGAGAGTATGAACAGAAAAAGAATGAGTTATTTTATTAATGTTGTGGGTATGCCTCATTAAAAACCCTCTCAGCCAAAACCCATTTTTCTGTTTTTTGGGACAAAAGACTGAGGCAGGAAAAGAGTGCATAGCTCATTCTTACAATTTCAACTGAAGTAGAACTTGAGATGCGTGGCATTCCAAGTTCGTGGGATGGGTTTGCCACTAAGCTCTTCCAGTCGGTAAGCCCCATTTTCTAAGTTTTCAATGATTCTGAATGGGCCATCCCAGTTGGGCGCGAGCTTCCCTTCTGACGGGTCTCTTCGAGCGTCGCCTAGTAGTCGCCTCACCAAGTCGCCAACTCGGAAAGAGCAAGGTCGGACGCGTGTGTTGTACCTTCTAGAGGCTCGGAGCTTACAAGCTTCTTCATGGATCCGAGCTTCTTCTATGAGTTCGTCAATTAGGTCGAGGTCGGTCGCTGTCTCTTGAGTGTTTTGTTCATTGTCAAAAACACGACGCCGATGAGATGCCTTGCCGACTTCCACTGGGATCATTGCGTCGACTCCATAAGTTAGCCTGTAGGGTGTTTCTTGCATCGTTCATTGGGGGGTACAATGGTATGCCCAGAGGATGCTGGGGAGTTCGTCGACCCATTGGCCTTTGGCGCTTCCTAGCCACTTCTTGAGCTCTCGGAGTATCACTTTGTTCGCGGCTTCGGCTTGGCCATTGGTCTGTGGATGTTCCACTGAGGTCGGGACCTGTTTGACTCCGATTTCATGGAGGAAGTCTTCGAAACTCTGCGGAATGAACTGTCTACCATTGTCAGTGACCAAGGAATGTGGAATACCAAACCTGCATATAATGCTCTTCCAGGTGAACTTCTGTACGTTCTCGGTGGTGATCTTGGCGAGTGGGCATGCCTCGATCCACTTGGTGAAGTAATCGATTGCCATGATGAGGAATTTGAGTTGACCCTTTGCGGAGGGGGAATGGTCCGAGGATGTCCATTCTCCATTGGGCAAAGGGCCACAACGACATCATCTGGTGGAGAGCTTCGAGCGGTTGTCGATGTGCGTTACCGAACTGCTGGCACTCCTTGCACTTTTGTACGTAGGCTTGGCAGTCCGACTTCATTGTGGGCCAGTAATACCCAGCTTGGAGTACACTGGTCACCATTGAGCGTGCTCTGGAGTGCATGCCACATATCCCTCGATGTATCTCCTCAACGACGTACGTAGCTTGAGGCTTGGCTAGGCATTTGAGCAATGGGGTGGAGATGCCGCGTTTGAATAGTTCGTCTCTGACAATGAAGAATTTAGCTGACCGTACCCTCATCTTCCAAGCTTCATCTTTGTCCTCAGGTAAAGCTCCCTCCTTTAAATAATTCCAAATGCCTGTCATCCATCCTTGGTCTCCGCTATCACTTGTGTTGACGACCTTGTCGTCCAAACTGGGTGAATGCAAAGTCTCCTGGATGATGGTCCAATGTTGTTCAGGGCATTTGGTACTGGCGAGCTTCGATAGGAGGTCGGCTCTAGCGTTTTGCTCTCGTGGTACATGGTGGATTGTGAACTCTTCGAAGGAGGAGATCTGTTGGGTGGCTAAATGGAAATACCTCTACAGCAAGGTGTCCTTGGTCTAATATGCCCCGCTAAGTTGCTCCACCATGAGCTTCGAGTCACTGTTGCAACTCACTCTCCACGCTCCGAGGTCATGCGCCAGCCTTAGTCTGGCGAGAAGCGCTTCGTATTCTGCTTGGTTATTTGTCACTTTGAAGCCAAACTTCAGAGATTGCTCCAAGGTGACGTGACTTGGCCCTACCAGAATAATACCTACGCCACCACCTTTAGAATTGGAGGACCCATCAACATGTAAAGTCCATACCTGTTGTTCGTCGGCCGAGGTTGGAGTCAATTCGGCCACAAAATCTGCCAGGCATTGGGCTTTTAGAGGGCCATGGCTTTCATACTTGATGCCGAACTCGGACAGTTCTACTAACCAAGCTATCATCTGTCCAGCGAGCTTCGGCTTCCTTAGGATTTGCTTGATCGGGTAGTCGGTTTTAACGACCACCTGGTGACTCTGAAAGTATGGTCGAAGATGCCAAGTTGCGATGACAAGCGCCAGTGCGAGCTTCTCAATCATCTGATAACGTCTTTCCATGTCTTGAAGGACTCGGCTGATGAAGTAGATCAGCGTTTGCACCTTCTGGTTTTCTTGGACTATGACTGCGCTGATTACGCTTTCTGCCACGGCCAGGTAGAGAAGGAGGTCGGTGCGGTGATTCGGCCTCTAGAGGATCGGTGGACTTGTGAGGAAGACTTTGATGCTCTTGAAAGCTTCTTCGCATTGGTCCGTCCACTCGAAGTTCTTTGGCTTACACAGCAGGGTGAAGATGGGCCCTGCTTTCTCCGCCAACCTGGGAATAAAACGAGAGAGGGAAACCAACCTTCCTGCCAGGCGTTGTACTTCTTTCACAGTCTGAGGGCTTTGCATCTGGATTATGGCTTTGCATTTTCCGGGTTGACCTCAATCCCCCTGCTAGTGATCATGAAGCCAAGAAATTTACCTCCCTGGACGCTGAAGACGCACTTCTCTGGGTTGAGGCACATGTTGTGTTTTTTGAGCTGGTTGAACACCTCGGCCAGGTCGGCAGTGTGACCTTCGGCTGAAGTGGTTTTGACCATCATGTAGTCGACGTAAACCTCCATGTTCCGCCTAATCTGTTGGTGGAAAACTTTGTCCATCAGCCGCTGGTAAGTGGCTCCTGCATTTTTTAGACCGAATGGAATCACTCGGTAGCAAAAGTTGGCATGGTCGGTGATGAACAATGTGTGCACCTCGTCTGGGGGGTACATCATGATTTAGTTGTACCCAGAGTAAGCCTCTAGAAAGCTGTGGAGGGCGTGCCTGGATGCTCCATCGACTAGTCTGTCGATGCTCGGTAAGGGGTATGAGTCCTTGGGGCATGCTTTGTTCAGGTCGGTGTAGTCGACACATATGCGCCACTTCCCCGAGTTCTTCTTCACCAGTACCACGTTTGCCAGCCACGTGGTGTATCTGACCTCGCGGATGAAGCCCGCGTTCAGTAGTTTTTGTGTTTCGGTGATGATGGCCTCTCGCCTCTCACCACTGACCTTCCGCTTCCTCTAGGCCACTAGTCTCGCTTCCTTGTGAATTGCCAACCTGTGACAGATGAAGTTAGCATCTATACCTGGCATGTCGGCGCTGGACCATGCAAAGAGGTCAGCATTCTTGGAGATTTTAGCTTCAATCTGTCATCGTAACTCCTGGTTCAGCTGTCGACTGATTTTGGTGCATTGCCCAGGAATCTTTACGATCTGGAGGTCATCAAGCTCATCGATGGGACTCAGCCGTTCATCATGGGAGTCCGACCTTGGATCTAAGTCAATAATGTCCATGTGGGTGATATGAGCCACTGTGGGGGGTCACTTTTGCGACGCTCTTACTTTCAGCGTAGCACTATCGAGCTGTCTTTTGGTTTGCACGGACGGAGATAATCTTGCCACCACTCCCTGGGAATTTCATGGTGAGGTGCGGAGTAGACACCACTGCCCCGAGTTGGTTCAATGTTGGCCTTCCAATGATGATGTTGTAAGACGTGTTGGCCTCCACGAGGAGGTATCAGACCATGATTCGCCTCGAGTCACGAGAGGTTCCGACGGTCGTCAAGAGGTCTACATACCCTCGAGTGTGAACTCATTCTCCTGCAAAACTGACTAGGGGTTCTGTGTGAGGTTGGATGAGGGAGTGAGGGATGTCTAACCTGAGAAACGTCAGCCAATATAGGACGTCGGCCGAGCTGCCTTGGTCGATCAGCATCTTGTGGACCTCCCAGTTGGCGACCTCCATAGCGATGACCATGGGGTCATCTTGATTTGGGCAGACGCTAGTGTAGTCATCATCAGTGAAGGTTATCGGCGGTGTGCTTTGGTGCGGGGCTGAGGTAGCGCAGTGGACATTGTTGATACTACGCAAGTGTCATTTTCGCGCTGAGCTGCTAGAGCCTCCCCCTGCAAAACCACCTGAAATTGTGTTGATAACTCCCCGCAAAGGGGCTGACCCTGTTTCTTGGCTTACCTCAGCCTGCACCGCACCACCAACGTTTTGCTGAGAACCAGAGGGTTGGTTCGTGCGAGCTCCCGAACCTCGACCTCTGCCTCGTCCTCGTCCATTGTAGCCCCCTCTATGACCCTGCTTTCATTGGACGTACTGTCCGAGGTGACCCGCTTGGACGAGTTCCTCTATACGGTCTTTGAGTGTGCGACACTCCTCGGTGGTGTGACCATGGTTTCTGTGGTATCTGCAGTGCTTTGACCTATCTGCATTATTGGGACTGTGCCCAGGGGGTGGCAGAGTGAGCAAGTTGTTGTTGTTCGCTTACTCCAGGATGTGTACTCGGGGCGCACTCAAGGGGGTGTAAAAGTCGTACCTTTCCCCTTTGCTCACCTTGGCAGCCTTCTTGAACTGACTGTCGTTGGTAACCTTCATCTTATCCATGTGACCTTGGTCTGAATTTGCTTGCGACATTCCGCGGGCTTGGTCACGAAAAGCAGAGTGCTCTTCCATCTGGATGAGCCTGCAGCTCGGGCACAGAGTTCGTCCATGTCAACGGGGGGTCGCCGACACAGGCTGTCGACAAACGGTCCTGGCTTGAGTGCCATGAGCATGGCATGTAGGGCGACCTCGGGATTCAAATTTTGAATCTTAATCGAGATGCTGGCAAAGTGCTCCATGAACGTCCTTAGTGGTTCGTCATCGCTCTGTCTAAGACTGGCCAGAGCAGTTGACGTAATGTGATGAGGCCAGAGCATATTGTGCCATAAACTGTCTGACCAGAGTGTCAAAGTTGTCAATCGACTCAGCCGATAATTGGGTGTACCAATTGAGGGCGACTCCCTTGAGCGAGGTCGGAAAAAACCTACACAGAACAACATCATTGTTAGTGTATAGGTTTACCTGGGTGACGTATAAGTTGATGTACTCGTATGGATCCGTTGTGTCATCGTAGCGGTCGATGTGGAGGGGCTTCCAGCCAAAGGGCAGAGGCATCTCCATGATGTCATCCAAAAAGGGGTGGCGACGAATGCTCGCCCGATTTCTAGGGTCCTGGGCAGGAGCATTGCTGACTTCATGGGCTGACTTGTTCATCGGTACGTGAGACCGATGTGTGGCAGGTCTGGGAGTCGGTGCCCTAGGCGCTGTTGGGGGTTGAGAGATCGAGTGCCCCTCCTCTTCGTCTTGACTATTAGGTTAAGGGGGCTGATCAGAAGGGCGCCGAGGAAGCTGGGCGCGAATACGCTCGTTCTAGGCGCGCAGTGCCGCTAGGTCAGCCTCATTCGCGATACGCAGTGCCGCTAGGCCAGTTTCGTGCTTCGCACGGATGTTTTGCAGATCGGTGGTGTGTTGCTGCCGCATCTGCTCGACCTGTTCGATCAGTCTTCTCAATGCTGCTTCGTTGTCCATGCTTGTCGTGCGATCTACATCATCTGTTGCTCGTCTACTATGGCTTTGGGGGGAAAACATAAACCTGGCCGATAAGAGCTGTCTTGATCGGCCCCACGGTGGGTGCCAAATGTTCTTACTGGAGATCGGTCGTAGGGGACGATCTATTGGGTGAGGTCGGCGAGCCTCTTTTGCTGGGTACAATTGTTGTTCCAAGACGGGGGTGGTACCTGCAAACGAGACTCCGATGCTAAAGTTAGTGTTTGTGGATGTATAAGTCTCGCATAAGTAATGCACGTACCTTTGTGTGAATTAGGGTTTCATTGGGCCTTGGGTCTGAGATCAGTTTATGACATATTTGGATGTCGGGCTGACGTGGCCTAGCGCGTGTCCGAGGTCACTCCGCACTGAGATGCCGAGCTCGAGCTCGGCATAGCGGTACGGATAGTACACATAATAATATATTAATATACAAAATTTATATTTTAGATAATATATGAAAATAACATGCACATATACAATTAATAAAAGAACTGATTTAATGACAATTATTTTTTGTGACACCCTTACTACCCCAACACATATATTGTAATAATAAAACTAATAAATAAATTTTCAATTGTCGGTAAAAGGGTTCACATAAAAACCTTCACAAATGTTCTGTAAATCGTACCAAGATTTGAACTTGACCTTGGCTTAATATAAGATAAATCGTACCAAGGTTCGAACTCGACCTTGGCTTAATATAAGGTAAATCGTACCAAGATTTGAACTTGACCTTGGCTTAATATAAGATAAATCGTACCAAGGTTCGAACTCGACCTCGGCTTAATATAAGATAAATCATACCAATGGTTCGAACTCGACCTCGGCTTAATATAAGATAAATCGTACCAAGGTTCGAACTCGACCTCGGCTTAATATAAGATAAATCGTACCAATGAAAAGCCCACAAAAAACCCTAACTATTTGGGTGCAACTAGCAAGGAGCCGAGTTGATAAAATTCAAAAAATCACACTCAAATTGAGTGAAAGGAAAACAGACACCTAAATTCCTAAAGAAACACTGGTAGACATAGAAATGGGGAGGGTCAGTAGACATCCCCATGTACACACCCTCACCGGCATGACAAGGTTCAAGCCGGATCATTTGGGAGATAGAAGGGTCACAAATTCTGTGCGATTTCCAAACTGCATTGACCTCAAGGAAAGACATAAACACACTTCGGGCCTCCCCCACATCGCGCCTGACCTAGTCGTAGCCAGGGATGCCTGGATCGAGGCCCTTAGACGGATTCTTATTTTCAACGGCGGCTTTCCCGGTGACCACCGCCTTGCTGCGCGCCTTACCTTTGCCCTTGGCAGGCGCGGAAGACTCGGCACCACTCTCTCTAACCATCAAGAAAATAGAAAGACTCGAAGAAGGAAAGATTGGAGAAGAAAGAGAAAATAGGAAAATTGAAGTACCTGGTACCCCTTTGACAAAAGAAAGAGTGAAGAGGAAGAGGCGAAACCCAGTTGCCGGAAACGGCGACGAAAACTTCCTAAGGTGAAATTTAAACCTCAAGGTTCGGATTCGACCTTGGCGCAAGATAATTCACGCCGAGGTTCGAACTCGACCTCGGCTTAATATAAGGTAAATCGTACCAAGGTTCGAACTCGACCTTGGCTTAATATAAGGTAAATCGTACCAAGATTTGAACTTGACCTTGGCTTAATATAAGATAAATCGTACCAAGGTTCGAACTCGACCTCGGCTTAATATAAGATAAATCATACCAATGGTTCGAACTCGACCTCGGCTTAATATAAGATAAATCGTACCAAGGTTCGAACTCGACCTCGGCTTAATATAAGATAAATCGTACCAATGTTGTGATATTTGCACAAAATAAAAATTGTTTATAATATCTAGTGACTTTTATACAATAGAACTTTAATTAAATAAATTCATTCATTTTCTTAAGTATTTTTTTCTACATGTTAACCACAATAATATAATCTTAGTAACCTAAATAATTAGTTATGATTAGCATATGCAATCTGGAACAAGGGTTACATTGCACATATCATTTGGAAATCATTTTATCTAACACTTCACAAACTTTGAGGGATTTACTTGTCTTTTCTATGACGAAAAACATGTCTATGTCCCTTTTTGAAGTACAAGTACCAAAGTAATTTTTATTCCTTCAATATGTTAAGAATAACATAAACAAAAATGATTTGATTATTATATATCATAAATGATACATATTTAATGCATTTGTCTTAGATAAGTGAACTAATTCGTCTAAGAGACTACACGTTGAAGTTAGATGAGAAACACATAGAAGGGGGGTTGAATATGTGTGTGTGTGAATAACAGCATTTTAAAAACCTTTTTGCAAGAAGACCTTCTTTCGTCCAGTAAAATGGTATTAGTGAATGCTAAACAAAAACTGCCCAGGATTGGTTTAACAAAATCATTTTGCGACTGAGAGTTTCATTGTCTGCTTACATCCTTAATACATATACAGTCTAATGGGATCATCGATTTCTCAAATAGAAATAATTATAAAATTACCCCTAATCCTACGGGATTTCTCCTCTACCCAATTTCCTCATGTAACTCTACACATAAATAATTTCCCTTTCTCCCGTACCTTGATATGTAGAAGCTGAACCTACACAAGATATGGTTGGTCTCTCTCGCTGGGTTCCCCTCAGTCTGAAGCAGAAAGTAGAGGGAAAGAAGAGAGAGCAGAAGAAAAGAAATCAGAAAATGAGAGGTGTGCTTTTTGGGAGTGGCAGAGAGCTCAATTTATAGGCATCAGGCTTCGCCGGAACGGCCCGTTCCAAATCCAGAACGGCCCGTTCTGAACCCTTAAATAACGACTAAAAATCACATCCAGAAAGGCCCGTTCTCAAACCAGAACGGCCCGTTCTAGGGTGCATTTAATACTCACAACGATCATATTTTGGAACGTCCCGTTCTCAACTCTAGAACAGCCCGTTATCAATTAGGTGAAAAGACCATTTCTAAAAATCGGAACGTCCCGTTCCCAACTAAAAATCGTAGGCAAATTTAATGGTTTGGAACGGCCCGTTCCAAATCCGAAATGGCCTGTTCCGAGCCACAAAAAGTAGGTCTATTTAGTAATTTGGAATGGCCCGTTCCAATTTTGGAATGCCCCGTTCCAATTTTGGAACGGCCCATTCCGAGCTACTAAACCACGTTAATTGGGCTCTTGGCCTAGTAAAAATTGGGTTGTTACAATTCTCCCCTCCTTTATGAAATTTCGTCCCCGAAATTTTTGCAATGGTAGACTCCTCGCATCTTGCTTCCTAATTCCTATGCAACCTCACTACCTTATAGATGTACAACTCTATCAATTTCACCAAGGAATGTCTATTATCACAAGGGTAAGACAAGTAAACTTGGTGAGTCTATCCACTATAATCCAAAAGGAATCAATTTCTTAAGAATGTCAGACAAACTTATAACTAAGGTCTATCTACACATCATCTCGCTTCCAAAATGGGATGTCTAAGCGCTACAAAAATTCCTAAAGACTTCTAGCATACTAAACACGAGTATTCAAATTCCTCTACTCCTCTCTTTATCTTAGGCCACCATGTTTCCGCTGCACCACTCTGATACATCCTCCTAAGGTCCCGATACATCTCAGTAGCTCCTAAATGAATGTTAAGAGTACTCTTATGTCCTTCCTCTAAGATCATCTTTCTTAATTCAAGGTTACTAAGCACCCAAGTTTGTTCTTGCACATCAAAAAAACGTCGATTTCTACTCAGAAATGGTTATCTATACTTCTACCAATCTTCTCCACTTGGTTCCCTAAGAAAGGATCTAACTCTTAGGCTTCTCTAATCTCATCCATTAATTCACTAGTCACTTTCAACATAATCAATTCAATGCTCCTAAGGATAATCTCACACACCAAGCATAAGTCTCTAAATTCTTCAATCAAATCCAACCCTTAAATCATCAAAAATGATATATCAGAGGTCATCATAATCAAGGCATCTGCCACAATATTGGTTTTACTTCTATGATCATCTCTATCCAGCACCTAAGCGTAAGTTCACTAGGTATACATATCAGATCTCTAATTTCACCACTTCATCCACACCCAAGTCAAACTCTTATCCATCACCTTATCTTATAACCTCATATTTTGTCACCAAAATGAATCAACTAATTATGCTTCTCCAATTTCCTTTAACAATCTATTTGTTACTCAAGTCATACTTAGTCTCACACTACTAAGGGTAACCTTATAAGCCAAACTTAAATCTCTAATTTGAGCCAAAACGATTCATCTCTCTAATTATAAGAGAAGATAAATGTAGAGGTTTCCTACCCAAAACATCGGTCACCATAATGGCTTTACTCAAATAACAACTAAGTTTGAAATCTTAGTCCTCAAGAAATTTAAACTATCTCTTTTATCTCATAATTAACTCTTCAGTCAAAAGATATTTAAGGCTCTTATGATCACACTAAATACCTCAAGCTTAGAATCATATAGGTAGCGTCTCCAAATCTTAGAATAAATATTACAACCGCTAACTTAAAGTTATGGGTAGGTAATTCCACTAATGAGTTTTCAATTTCCTAGAATCACAAGCTACTACCTTTCTTTCTTGCATCATCATTCCACCCAAACCTATCTTAGAAACATCAACCTATACCACAAAAGGTTTACTAAAATCAGCCAATGCTAACACTAGTGCACTAGTCGATCTTTCCTTAAGAATTTGGGAACTATTCTCACACTTACTATCTCACACAAAAACAACACTCTTCTTAGTTAATCTGCTCAAAGGTAATGCTATCTTAGGAAGTTACTCAATAAATATCCAACAACAATGAGCTAATCTAAGAAAACTCTTAACCTCACTAACTGACTAAGGTATCTCTCACTTAAGTACAACTTCTACCTTAAATAGATCTACGTTATACCCCCGCTAGAAATTACAAGACCTAGAAAACTCGCCTCATACAATCAAAAAGCATACTTAGATAAATTAGCGTAAAGTTGTCTTGGATACATCTTCATCCTCATCTCCAGTATGATCATATACACCCTAAGGTCAATCTTACTAAACACATAAACACTCGCTAATTAATCCATAAGGTCATTTATCCTCATATTAACATACATACATATCAAATCATATTAGAATACCTACTTTAAACCTTCATATATACCATCCTTAAGCATGTACGAATCAATCATCGTTTACACCATATAGCATGATACCATCTTAAACAACCTCTCAATGACAACACCTCAGAACATAATATCCAAATCAGTTTTTATCCTTGCTATGCCTAACAACTCAAAAACATCATGACAGCATATACCTCCCTTCAACAACTAGCGAAACAAATAACACACAAAGAGTTATACTCATCCAAATGATCTCAAACCTATCTCAAAATGAAGCTAAGATAATATAGGCCACAACTCTTATGAAGACATGAGATTCCAAAAAGATCATCTTCTTAGCTAAAAATTCAAAAACCACAACAGATATATTCAGCGCTTACAGCTAGATCTCTGATCACTAAAGCAATTATAACTAAAGTTCTAGACCTCTTTTTTATCTAATTCCAGTTCCATTGGGAAGATAACATCCAAGGCTTCAATTTTCCTAAAGACTACAAAATCTAGACAGCAACATTATATCAACATCTAAAACCACGAAAATACCTCAATCCTTTCCAAACCCACTCCTTTCCACCTCAAACTCATATCCAAGCATCTCACTACAATCCTAAACCAAAATAACTTACATATCCATCACAAAAGACTTAGAAAATAAAACTCACATGTTACCTATACCGTAAAAGGTAAACATGCAAGCATCAAACTCCATAAATCATTAACACTTCAATCTCTCCTTAGAATACCAAAACTCCAATTCTCAACATACAACCTCCTTGAATTCAAAGGCTAACAACTATAGATTTCAAAAACTCCACCATCGTAAACTCTTAATACACACGAAAAATGAATGTCTCGCCCACATCCAAAGTTCTAATAGTTCTAGTTGGTTAGCACAAGGCTTCATCCACTACTATTAGCACATATGCTCGCAACACCAGTGATACCACTCAATCACTACTTCTTACGTAAGCAAGAAGTATCAAAACAAATAGGCAATCATGAATAGCATTAACTAAGTTATATCATGTCTTTCAACCAAATTCTAAGAAAACAATATACGAGCCGTTACTGCCCACTTCTCTTCAAGGGTTGTACCTTGAGAGTCTTGATGGTTTGAAGTGTTTGGGAATGGAAGGAAAAGGGCTTCAACATCTCACATCTCTCCAGTCTCTCACCCTATGGCGTTTAGATGAATTGAAGTCGTGGGAAGGGAATGGGCTTCAACATCTCACTTCTCTCCGAATGCTTCGGATTGATGGTTGTGGAAGCCTTGAGTCTTTGCCAGAAGATCACTTGCCATCCTCTCTTGAATTATTGGAGATATACAGATGTCCTTTACTAGAAGAAAGGTATCAAAATCAGAAAGGGAAATATTGGTCTAAGATTGCCCACATTCCTGCCATCGAGATAAAGGATGAAGTGATAATATGAGTGGTTGGATGACTAGGAATCATCGAAAAGGTAAAGCCTTAAATTATTTCCACAAAGTAATATGTTTGGATGGTGAATTTTATAAATTCAAAAATTTTTAAATTTTTAGTATTTAAATTATTTTGGTTTTAATTTTTATTATTTTTAAAATATTTTATTTAGATGAGTCAATTCAAATTTTTAAATTTTAAATTGTAAGGTTGAATATGATAATTTTATTCCATCATAGTAAAATTAATTTTAAAAATATATTTATATGTTGAGATTTTTAAATTAAATTTTATAAAAATAAATATTAATCCATTTTTAAATATAATAATTTTAAAAATTAATATTAGATAATATTTAATAATTCTAAAAATTAATATTAGATAATTTGTAATAATTTTAAAAATATTTTTGAATATTCAATAATTAAAAAAATGAAGAGATAAGATAAAATATATAGGTGAAATAAAAAAAATAAATATAAAGAATTTTAAATTCTCTCATTTTTGGGAGAATTTGAAATTTTACTATTTTAAGGAATTTCACAAATGCTTAGATTTAAATTTTTTTATAAATTACTCATCTAAACAAAATATTTCACCTCAAAAAATTTGAAATTCTTTAAATAAATGAATTACCTTATATAACTTCCACATTCAAACACATCATTAAATTATTTCCAGAAAGTATGATGTCAATTTAATATCTCACGACTCTAACGCTTGACTGCTTAAATTATTATCTACCTAGCTATAAACTATTTATTTCAAACCATTTTTTGGTGTAATTGTGGTACATCGGATTTTGGTATTTCATTATGCTTAAAATTAAACTAAATCAAAATGGATTTATCAGAATGAATGGTAATTCATGCTATTAACTGAAAACCTATTTATTAAATTTAGTAAATTGGTAAGAGTTGTCCACAAGTTGGATAAAATGTCATTTTTAATAATTAGTTTAATATGTTTTTATTTTCTCTCTAAATAAGGTCATGTTCACTTTTAGTTCCTCTAAAAATAGAATCTCATTTTAATCTTTTTATTTATGAAAATGTATTTTGTATTGTATGATTCTTAATTTTAAAAACGAGAAAGCAAAAGAATATGACTTTTGTGAATAATAGGAACTGCAACTCACATTTTTATAAAACGAGGAATCAAAATGAGATGGTTTATTTTGAAGAGACTGAAAATGAATACTTCTATATTTATAACATATTTAATTCTTTTTTCAAAGTTTGGAACTTGAAACATGCTTAAGTAGATAAATCTTTAATTTAATTAAATTTTCACGTTTTGCTTGTCTCAAGAGACAGTAATATGATTTATTGATTTAGATTGTTTGTAAAGTGGAGTATAAGAACAATTATATATTTAGTTTAAATTTGATTCCGTTTAATTATGTTTGATTAATTAGACTTTTTCTGGGTATGGTTAAATCACATAGTGAGAGATGTAAGTCTGAGGTAATATAAAGTCAATTTGATGAATAAGGGAAAAAAAAAAGAAAGAGAGAAAAAAAGAAAGAAGGAAGTGCAACAGTGTGTAAGTGAACCCTTAACTTTATTGAGTAGATTGGATAAATCAAAGAAAGAAAACAATGGAATCAACTTTCTAATTTCTTATCTTTTAAAAAATAGAAATTCCATCAAATACCCTATTTACAAAACTCAAATGGAGTTTCATTTGATGAAGTCGATTACTATCTCTTCTATAATTTAAAACTTGTCATTGAATAATGTAGTGTTGAGCTGATTTTATTAATAATATTGATCTTTAAATTTTGATGAGATGACAATATTTTTTTTCTTAATGAATACAGTTGGTAGCTGAGGTGGCAAGCTAGTAATATTTGTTGATTGTGAAGGTTCGAGCTTGTTCTATTGGTTGCATTCTTGTATCTAGTTCAATCTCATTGTCACGTTGGTTGTCTTTCAATCATCTTAATCAAATTCTACAAATTCCCTCATTAACATTTGTAATTGGTCAAACTAAATTTGTGGTTTGTTGATGTTAATGTACTGTTAGTTGGTTTTCTTTCACTGAACTATCTTTCTAAAACTTCAATATATTGGATTAGGATTGCGATATTGGTGTTGAATCATCCAAGTTTATTCAAATTAGAAATTGAAATTTGTGTTGAATCATTTGATAATGGTTTGTTAGCAGTGTATTCTTGTAATAAAATATTGGTATGTAAACTTTATTCTATTGCTCCAAGTTGAATATTTATAATTTACGATAGATATGTTCTTTTGATTATAACACTAAGTTGGAAGTGATAGATTGAAGCTATCATATTTGCTACTTTCTGGTTTACGATCTCGTTGAATCTATAGTCTTGAGTTCACTTGTGCTACATGATCGAATATCTTGAATGAGAATTAAATATGTTATTAGTTCTTAATTTTTTTTTAATTTTAATCTTTTTAAATAATTTTTTAATAATTTTTTTTTTAATTTTTTTTTTTATCAAAGTCTTTGGACATTTTTACTCTCAGTAACATTTTGATTCTTTAAGTCTAAAACTTTTGTATTACATGGTTGAATATATTGTTTTGATAAGGAGGTGTAATTCCTCCTTACCAAATTCGACAGTTTAGGAATAAATTGAAACTTTTAGTTGCGATTTCATGTAAGTACAAAATTGAACTCCAACTCCAATATTTTGAAGTTTTAATATTAAGCTTTATTGATAATTTAAAAATATTTAATAATTTAAAAATATTTTTAATTATTTAATAATTAAAAATGTTTATTGATATCTTTTACATATTGATAAAGTAGAGAAAGAGTTAGGAAAAATAAGATAGATGTGGGATG